ATATTCAGAACTATTATGATTTTGATTGTACTGAAACTATTTCGCATTGTTCCCTTTGTACAAATTCAACTTATGTTAATTTAATTTCGGTTATTTATTTCCTCTGAAGAAGTGACTTACATCAAGTTACAAAACGTCAGAAATACAATTTTTCTATTCATTGTATTATAACAAAAATGCATTTATTAATAACTCTCCATCCAATGTTCAATTTATTTGACACTATCCAGTCCAACCTTGGTATTGATACCTAAAAACTTTACCATGGTAAATACCATAAAAAAATTCAAAATTGCGAAATACTGAATTCTCTTTAAAACAACAAATAAAGCAGACATAATCATTACAACAGTCTCAACATAATTATTTCACTACTGCTGAAATTTTTAGAACACATAGCCAAAGTGTCTAAATATCCCTCAACAAAAATTATGCTCCAGTAAACTATTCATCTTCAAAATACACAAATCCTAAGAATGAAAAAGATCTAGTGATTAGTACGATGAGAGATGAATCGATGCAAACATTAAGTTCAGCGAAATAAATGTTTTTTACTTAGTCGAATAAGTTGGAATGATAACCTAACGAAGAAGTAACCTGTACAGATTGACTTCTATTTTTTATAAGGAATATTAGAAAAGAAATGATGAGTCAACATGTCTCCTGCTTACTCATTAAACAACTGGTTCATAGTCTTCGCATATTATTCTTAGTATAAGCTGTCAATAGCCATTCATAAATTACAATTAATTAATTATTAACCCCATAAACCTGTTGCTGAGTTTCCTATCACAAATATCCAAGTTTTGTACTTTATTAGAATTTCAAAATTTGAAAAATTCCCATATTGTGATTTAGAACAGCATATATAAGCGAACAATATTGTTTTAGATTAGATCCCTATCAGGCTTTACTCTAATATACAGTAATATTTCTATGCATATACGGAACAACTAAATCAATCAAAGCAGTTTATGAGTCAATGATAACAGTGGAATAGATTACATAATAAGTGAAAAGTACAAATTGGCAGTGTGATGACAGGTGTACTAGTTTTGATAAGAATAATAAAGGCTTAAATCAGTGTTACATAATCGGAAATAGGTCAATGATCAGCAAAATATAGACACTGCATCTTCTTTGCATTGCCGAAGCAATAGCCATACATCTGGAAAAACCAGAATTTTGTGTGCAAAAGAAACTGGTACAACCTCTTCTACCATGGTCTTAATGTAATAAAAATTTTCTCTCTTTTGCATACTCTTGTTCCTTTACAGTCATCTGCTTCACCTTCCATCTTCCCTTCAAATCTTCTACCCCCAACTGGTTTGGTTTTATTTCCACGATCATTCCGATTACATTTCATCTCTGTTTCAACATTTTATTTTATCATGCTGAGCCATCCTTTCCCAATAATAATTTCCCTATCTATCTTTTGATGAACTTCATTAGTCATGACTAGTTAGAAGAGTTTAGGGAATTAACTTCGAAGTTGTTCACTAGACAACCAATAAATTTCACTGTAATTAACCTATCTATTCATAATAATAGTTACTGATTATTTTAATACTGACGAAAAACCCATTTATTTATAAAAATATTGTATTTAATAGTAGTAGAAGTGGTAGAATTACTAAATTTCACGAAGTTTCTACTTATGTTTTAAGAAACTACAACTTTAGCTTTAAATGAGCGAAAGCGATCCCCTAATGCCGGTTAAACAAAAAAAAGTCCACTTGATTTTCATATTACAACTTGAATTACTCGTAAATATAACCAGATTTATGATAACTCTGAAATTACTGATTTGTTTTAATTTATCTAGTTAAAACATTAAAACTCGGATATCACATCTGAGTGACTATATCTTTGACTGTTTTTGATTATCAATGATTAGGTCAAATAGTCATAAATTGTAAGTACAGAATGAACTGAAAGATGAAATGACTATTTAATGTTTTTCACATGTAGTATTATGAAGTTTAAAATAATAATAAAAAATGGATCAATTGATATAAGAATAAATGTTTCCTTTAAATTTTAAGAACTAAAATTTGCTATTTATTTCCTTAGTCTATTACTTTATTGTTATAATAACCAAGAGCATGTATTGTTTTCATTTATAATTGATTATTCGATTATATGTAGTCCCAACATTTCCTTGTACTTCACTTACCAAACACAGGTTTATGTACTGGAATTTGGGAAATAAATTAGTACAGTAAAGTGGATTCATTTTATTCTGCGAATTCTGTTTTAACATTAATCGACTGAATATGCTTTTCACAAAGAAACTACCATTATATTTCATCCACAGACATATTAATAAAAATAATTTTGCATATTTATTATTTATTTAATCGAACACATAAACACTGGTACAAGGGGACACCAGTTACATATGCGCCACACAAATCTCATTTGATATGTGTGAGGGCTGTGATACTGCACGGGTGCCCAAACTGAAGCAGGTGGTTTTCTTAGGGAGCCACACCCGGAGCCTTCGACCTAAAGGTTTGATCCACAAGGCAGTAGAGCACCGTAAGGAGATGCAGTCCCATGGTGGTCGGTGACCAACAATTGGTCCATACGCCATTTGTTCCTTCAGGACACTGGAGCCCATGTGCACCATTGGTTTGGAATCAGGGTTTTCCAATTCCCCTAGGTAGACTCTCTATGTCCACCAACCCGGTTAAAGCACCGGACATTGGTTTTTCGTCCTCTCAACTTCGTAAACAACACCCCCGCTAAGAGAAGGCAATGAGTAGGACTTCCCTGGCAGAGGCTATATACGCGTAGCCGTGCGGGAGCATTTCGAGAGGAAGAGCGACCTCTCCCCACTCTCGGCCATACCAGGGCATTTGGGGGCATATTCTGAAATATAGTTCCATTAGAATCAGCGTAGTTCTTTATGAATTGTTTATTAGTTTCTTTTCAGTTTATTGTCACATTATCCGAGAATTAACTCAATTGTTATCAGATTACCATGGATGTATTCTCTTTGAAGCAATGCCTTCAGGAAAAAAGTCTAAATTGCTTGTCTTCTGAAGCGACCAAAGAGTACAATAGATGAGAACTTAGCTTTTTCCATTAAAAACAGTAGGTCTATTACAAAGTTATATACAAATATGCACTTTAAAACATCATGGTAATTAATAAGTCATAATTACTCATCAAACGCATGAAGAAAATGGTTGGAGGGTAAAACGACAAAATTTAAGGTATCAGACAAAAGATCTGTTTACATCCGGTTTATGCATTAAAACACACACCGGAAAAAGTCTTTGCAATTCAAATCTATACTTTGATTAGGTATTGTGAGCAATGATGTAAAGAACAGATGAACAACGCCCACACAACCAAAAATAGTAGCATATTTCATATAACTGATGAAAATTTAAATATTATCTGGGATTCGTCTCATAAATTTACATAACATTATGAGAAAAGATTTGTTGGACTTCGTATTAAAAGACGTTTCTTCAAATATTATCGCAGTTGAAAAAACAAACACATACACCGGATAGGGTAGCAAACGAACTTTGAATTAATCAAAATTAACTATATGAGGCCGGTCTTTTCGAAAGATGACTGAACGAATAATAGAAAAGCCAAGAGTGAATAACTACTTAATGATGAACTTTTCAAATATATCATTTACGATAACATATTGGCAAGTCGTATAAAAACAGGAAAACCTAACTCTTAAAAGGCGAAATTCCGAAATCAAACAAAAAAAGTGTGGGGGTCGTAGTGAGAGCAAAGATCCTGGGTTCGATCTAAGGTGGAATCTTCAAAATGGATCCCAAAAAAACATTGTAAATTCAACTTCTATTGCTTTTTTTAGTTGCATAAAACACTGCTTACCATCATTTAGGGTATCGACTGTAGAGTACATAAAAGAATCAAGAAATGAAAACAAATATGAAAAGCCGGAGTAAAAATTTTCATTCCATTATTTTTCAAGCTGACTTGTAACAAATTGTTACAAATAGCTATGGACTCGACTTTTTGAATCCATAACCCCATGCATACCTTAAAGACCTTCTATAAATATCTATACTCATGCCATATCCAAATGATATCCCAGTTTCGCATTTTACCGTCTTATGCTCTAACCAGTTTCAATTTGCGAACGATAGGACAACAGTTACCAAAATTATGACAAACTTCGTTCCGTATGTTTGTTTTATGGATACCTCCTAGATTTGAATGATTCACAAAACATTGAGTCAGTCAGTCAGCTACAACGTGGGACCAGGCACATATATGCATCGGTCCAAGTTGCCATACCTCATTAGCATTAGATGAACACCGAATTCATAGTAATTAATTCAGTGGTGGTAATATATAAAAAGAAAGATTTAATTTAACGATATAGTACATAAAGAAAGAATTAGTTTGTAGAAAGAAAGATATTAAGCGGTTTTAATCTCACTGTTTAAGGGAAGACAAAGAGTGTATACACCTACACCATTGTGATCGATTCTGAGCCATGTCACCCAGCGTCTCCAACTATTGATTGTGATAGTTATGCGGCCCCCAACCAAGTGGTCTGCATCTACCAACATGGCACAGACTAGAAGCTAGTGACTTCAAGCACTGATGCCACGTTTGGATTTTGCCGTTCCTAACTTTCTTCCAACCATCCCCAACACTAAGTAGCATTGCGCGTCGTGGTAATCGGTGTTCAGGCATACGCATTACATGGCCCAACCATCTCAATCGACGAAGATTCACAACGTCATCAACTGATTTACCATCATCCCCTAATACCCTGCGTCTAACCTCACTATTACTTACCTGGTCATCTCAGCAGATGCCAGCAATATTTCTAAGGTATCTGACTAATTTATATTATCATCGAATAGAATATACAATAATTAGATGTCTATTTCTGAACTTATAACATCTAACTGGCAACCAGTTAATATTTATCTCAAGGATCAACTAAGAAATAAGTAAAGGAAACTTATTGGAATATTTTCTACTGAATAAAGCCTCTAATAATAATAATAATAATAATAATAATAATAATAATAATAATAATAATAATAATAATAATAATAATAATAATAATAATAATAATAATAATAATAATAATAATAATAATAATAAATATAATAATAATAATAATAATAATAATAATAATAATAATAATAATAATAATAATAATAATAATAATAATAATAATAATAATAATAATAATAATAATAATAGTAATAATAACAGCAATGGTTACGAATAGTTTATGATCATAACCTTCCGCTTCCCTCGTATTAAAACTAAATTGCCATCTTTATAATTGAAATAAATATTTATAAATAAATTATGTGAATCAATTAAATTTAAATGTTTTACCTTTTTTGGTTAGTTTATTGAAAGTCACATTAAACACTTTTTCTGTTTTTTCTTTTGTTTAGTTAAGGTCATGAAAAATGTTTTTGTGTTTTTTTAGCGGAAAAATTCAACTTGGAAACATAATTTTCACAGATTTTATTGTTGTCAGTTCATAAATAAAAAAAAACATGAAACATAATTTTCTTCTTGATTATTCGGAAATGTTTAACTTATTCCATTAATATATTTTTATGTTAATTCATTATAATAGAATATTCAATTTTCATGCCGGTGAACACCTCCAAGCATGGGTAAGCAAATATTTAATGATGAAAGTGAACAACTCAATATTGGCTTATTTAGTACAAACTGATCATGGTGCTAGTATATTTATAAAGTCAGTAATTTTTTGCCAAAACTTGTCAGACTTAAAATCTTTCAAACAGCTGAAGCACTAGCCATTCGGATGAAGAAACCAGAGCTATGTGTACAGAAGAAATGTATTTAAACACACTTCCTCCCTTGGCCAATCTCAAGGCTAATTAATCAATAGTAATCTTAGCTATTGAATGACCTAATTTGACTGTTGAATTTATGACGTGACTTCAAGCACTGATGCCAAGTTTTGGTTATCATTGAGTATTATATTAAAAACTATCAAAACGAATTATCAGTAGACCAAATATGGAATTATTCACATATATGTATAGCGAATGGTCAGTGAAAAATAAGGTGTATCCATGATCCTTAAAGTGATGTTATTTAGTACATTTCATGCGAATATATACATTTAACTTACCTATAAACTAATAGAAAGTGTCGACCATCTTTAGAATAAGTATTATTAATCACCTTACTAGTTACTTGAGACACGATGATATGATTAAATGAAAGTAGATATTTAATCTCTATGAGCTCTTGTTTTATGAATCATGTGAGCTTAAATTCAATAACAATTAAATTTTTTATACCCAGTTTCACTCTGATGAGATGAATAACGCCAAATGATTTTATGAATTCGTCCTTTCCATAATGTTGTAATGTGTGAGACTGCAGGTTTTGATAAGCAGCGTATTTATCGACTGATTCGGTGACACGTAAACACGTAATGAACAACCTAGAGTCCCGATTGGCCCCTGCTTCCCTGTCTAGCTCAGCCAGTTGAGTCCAGAACGCAAGTCACAGCCTCTGAGATATGAATCATTATATTTCAAATACACTCTGTTTATATACTAACCAAGCAGACCACACAGTACCATAAAATAGAAAATAACATTTACACAATATTTAACAAGTGAAACAAACATCGACCAATAGGAAATGTACATTTAACGTCCAAGGACGTCATTCAACTTAAAACGATAATTATTGGTATATTCCTCTGCATACCTAACACATAATGAAGGCATTTCATTAAGTATATTGATATTTCGAAAAACCAAATGAAATGGTCATATGAGATATCATTCTATGTATAGTAAACGTAAAATTACATGTATTGAATTGTTTATTGTATCTTTTTAATGTGACAAAATCAATGGATAAAAAATTTACTGAATATATCACGACCAAACGGTTAAAATGTGTAATTTTTTCCACATACCTTATGAAACATTGTTGACCCCGTCTTGGTTTTTCAGACAAATCAAAGTCTATCTATTTGAGTAGTTTTATATTTTACATAACACTTCATATCTTATGATAAAATGTAACACAGTAGTGTCATTTACAACCACCGTTAATGAAGTGCATTCTAAGTGTTAATAACATTTACTAACTTCTATGTATCATTGTAAAGTATGCGACCCAGTAAAGTATACTCAGAGTGTAACTACTGAGCTACCGTTTCATATATGTATAAGGATGTCTACTCATTTTATTGGTTTTCTTTGAGACAGGTTTTCACATTTTACTTTCGTACGACCAAGTAATCGTTGAAATAAAGTTGAGCACTAGTTATACAATCTACCTGGTCGATTTTAGATTTGCTTTGATATTGCTAGAATCTCCTTGGCCGCAGTAACGGTTAGAACAAAAAATTCTAATTTTACCTAGCATTAAACCATAGTCGCCATAAAACCATCCAACTCATTACTTAATATGACGGTAAGTGGCGACGCATCGGGCTGAATAGTTTTCATAGTACATTACCCAACGCTTATTGTTTACTGATACGATAGATATCTAGTATGCTTGTGCGGATCACAAAAGCCATCTTTTTGAAACCTGTGCGCGTCTTCGGGATAGTTAACCGATAAATATAGTATAACTTGTATTACACTAATCAAATCTGAGCAGTTCACAATAATGCAGAGTTAGAGCTAAAACTACTAGACATAATCGGCTTGACTGTTGAGCTTGTCGGCTGTGGAAAACGATCTTTTATCAAACCGATTTCCTACGCACACAAAATTCAACTGAAAAATAGGAAAAGTTATACAAATATAAACTATATATTATTTAAAGTGGGAAGTATTTACAGAACATAGTGAAGGATTCTCACAGTCAATACTATATACATTACTGGAGTATACAAAAACAAATAGAAGAGATTTCTATAAAAAAAACACAAAAAGATAAGCCTGTCGGTTTAAATAGATTAGGTAAGGTATATACGATGATAATCGTTGGCACCAAATGTTGCATTGCACTTTGGACATTTACGATTTCGTGTTTCATACCGAACTTTTAGACAATTCAAACAGAACACATGGAAACATTTAGTTAGAATAGCATCCTTTCTGTTGATTTTACACGTTGGACATGTAAGTTGCTCCTAAAATATACAAAAAAGTGTGGGTTACAATACAAGGATGAAAGTAAAACTAAACTAAACCAAAGATGGAAAATATTATCATTACAAATACTGTGAAATATTAACTAACATGAAGATCTTGAAAAGTCACAAAGTACATAAGTTCGCCTAACATCTGGAATATGTACAATACCAAACCGAGTGGTGAATTTCGTATTTAAAAAAACAATATTCACAGCTCATGCTTTTAAATTTTATTACAAATTGCATTTAGATTATGAATAGAAATAACCAATCAAAAGATAAATATAAATATATAAAAGATTAACATAAACAACATACTTTATAATCTTGAATTTCAGCCAGTAAAAATTCATCAGCGTTGTGAGACTGTTCGATCTTGCGTAACCTCTCGTATTTTCTGCGCACAGTGACAAGTTCTTCCTGAAAAAAAAATAATACATGCATTGTTTTCATTAATCAACCATGTGTATAATCAGATCAATGTCAGTATTATGAATAGTGGTAATTCATACTGTACAATAATCTCCAATTAAAGTATCAAAAAGGTAGAAATTAAAAGTTCATCTTCAATAAAAACAATCAAACGGAACCAATATCTTTGTTATCGAGGAGCGATTTTTAATTTCGTTTGATAAATAAACATTTTGGGGCTTACGTGAATAAAGCAGTTTCGTGAGCGACCATCACTAGATCACGTTGTGTCTGTGTATTTCATTTATTGAGCGACATTCAATTCATTTCAACAATTACAAGCTTAGTTCATTCATAAGTCTTAATTCATAAAAGACCGAAACCAAATTACAGACCTGAGCTTCTAATAAACTAAAGCAACAAGTAACAAGATTTTTAAGTAGATTAGGGATTTTAGTCTGACAAGTAAAAAAAACAACATAGCCTGTAGCTTATCTAGGGTTAGGGTCGGTCCCAGACCCAGATAAAAGAGAAGAGTTGGGCATGGCATCACCAAGCCCATCCCGTAGAAAACCAAGCTTGTTAAAGAAAGTCTAAGCAGAAGAAAAAAACAATTTAAAACATTTAAACTCTGTCCTGCGAGTTAAAGGATCTTCATTCAAAAGAATTATGACGCCTTATTGTGAAAACCGAAGTCTTCTGGCAATCAAAGCAACAATTAATATTAATAAACAACAGTAGAATATGAGCAGAGAAAGCTGAGGCACAAGCAGAATGCACAGAAAACGAGTTCATGCGTCTGTACCACTGCAAACGACTTTGAGCCATATCATTCAAAGTCTTTAACTACTGGTTACATTAATCACGGGGACTCCAACCAGGTAGTTGCGGGTAGACGGATCTTGCCTATGCCACAAGTGCTGCAAGTTGATAAAAGCGAATCGAGTTTTCTGAATCCGCGCCGAGATTTTATCAGAATGAGTGAAGCGATCTACATGCTCAGTATTATATTAACATAAGGTGACCGCCCCAACCCTACGGAAAACCTTACTCAAACGCATTCAATCAATAAGGTGAATATTAGGAAACAGTAAAATACATAATATAGTAATTTGGCTATATTTGTTGATCAAAGTAGTTAATTTATTGATTTTGCAAATTGTGTACTCGAATTAAATTACTGATTAACTCATGTTAACTATTGACAGTATAATAAAAACACGTTTATCTATTGACTGGACATTTTTTATTGCAAATTATGATCAGTCCTGGATTAGTGTTTGGTGTATAAATAAATCTTGATTAACAGTCTTGGACTCTTCATTCCATTTATTAATACCGACCTTTTTCCGTTGAACAAGCAATCAGCCATTACAAATAACCATACCACGAACAGAATCAGCACTTTGACAAGTCATTACATACATATGGTGGTACACAAACAGATTTTGCTCTGTAGTTTAGTACGAAACAAAAATTTAATCATACATGCAATAACAGAAACCTGAGATAATAAAATTGTGCACGTGATCGGATTCTGAACTATGGAAAAGTACAAAAATGATTATCATACTAATTACACCAGTCATAAAGATTAAAATGATTTTCAATAGACAAAAACTAACTTGTAAACGCTGATGACCAAAAGAAACGCGTTCAAAAGCGGACGCTTTCTCTTGAACAGTAGTTTGAGCATCTTTTAGTTGACTTTGATACTTTTGAACAGTGACTTTTAAGTCTTCAGAGACTTGTTGACTTTCCAGAGCTTTTCGTTTATAAGCTTCCTGTGACTTTTGTCTAGCTGATGCCTCTTTCTCTAAGGTTGCTAAATTGGTTAACAATAAACGTTCCTGTAAAGAAAGCAAAACAAGGCAGTGAACTAGGATAAAGCATGGTTGTGTCACTGACTTGATAGTAGTTGATCAAAAACTATATCGTTTAAAAACCCCATCACATCAAAACGCTAATATACGAACGAAAAGTAGCTTTTTCAATAAATTCTCTTCGGATTCCACAATTACGTATCCAAATTAATCGTCCAAAAGTGGTCAGGTTTAATGCAAAGTACATTATTTAAAGTACTTTGCCTTAAACCTGACAACTTTTGGACGATTAATTCGGATACATAATTGTAGAATCTGAAGAGAATTTATTTTAAAAAATGTTATTTGTTCATGCATTAATGTACTAAAAACTAGATCTTGGAAAACCGGTTTCCCATGTTTCAAGGAAATTATCAAATGTTTTTCTGAACCGCTAAAGACAATCGCCAGTGAAGAACGTGAATCAATGAAATCATGTTTTAGTAAACCTAAAGGTCTTTCAAAATTATTTCTACTTCAACAACATAAATCGAATTATGGGATTGACGTTTCGTAAAAACACCGGTTTGTTTCTATACATAACTAAAGCGAGTTCAACGATGGAAATTGACTAAGAACAAACACTATTTGCAGTTCTGTAAGGAATTATGATCAGTAATAGAGGTGATATAAAAGGTTGATATAGTATGGTAGCCAAATATGTTCAACACTACGTACAATTCTAAACGTCTGTAACAGGATTCGAATACGGTAGTGGATTCGTGACACTTACGTTATTTACGAAGAAAATGTTAAAACATATCACAGACAGAGCAGACCGGTATAAAGTTGTAAAGTAGTTGGTTATCGAACTGCATTAATTGGGGTGCCTTCGTGATCCATCAAGAATACTTCGACACAGGTGTAAAAAACAATAAGACAAAATCTCGTAATAAAAAAGCACTACTATACAAGATCATTGGTAAAGTTTGAGTTATCTATATGAGACTTGCAAAGACAGAATCTCATTACAATCAGTATTCTAAATTTACTTCATTAAGAAAAAGTATATACACAAATTTTCAGCTTACTTTCTCTTCCTGTTTTAGAACTGCACGATTTAACGCTTCAATTTTTGCTTGCATCAGACGTATCTGTTCTTCTAAAAGCTGTTTGTCTTCCTTCAGTAAACGAGCAAGTTGAGCAGTTTTCATTCTTTCTGCCATTAACTTTAAGTGAGCATCATCTTTTTCTCGTAATGTTTTAACAAGGCGAACGTTTTGTTCTTGCGCATCTTCGAATGCTTGAACAGTAATCTTTAAATAGTAGGGAAAAATAATATTGATGTAAGTAAGCAAGTTTTTGTTAAAAATGTCAGTATTTCTTTTTTTAAATGGTCAGCTCGAAAGCGTGAAGAGAACATACGGAAACCGTTTATCTCAAAAAGATTAGTAATAACTTGCAAAGTTAATTAGTAATGTTCATAATAAACTGTAAATATGTTCAAGGTCTTTAATAGGCCAAGTTTTTCCTAATAACATTTGTAAGCATTAATAGATTGGAATATTTCTGTTAACGGACTGCTTCTAAATAGAGCAGGTGTGAAAAAATACAAACAAAAGTAAAACTCACTTCCATTTCCTTCAATAGTACATCCTCTTGTTGCTTGGCAGCTACAAGTCTTTGTTGGTGAAGCTTTAACTGCTCCTCAACAGATTGACTTTTACGTCGAACTATATACAGTTCCATTTGCAACTCTGATATTTGCCAATCAGAAGCAGAAATTTTAGATTTTCCACAAGACGTGATCGGCAGAGATCCAGATATACTCGAGCTTTTTTCTTCAGGTGAAACCAACCCAGTCTTACATGTTTTCGAAGGAGATAGTGGAATATTTCCATGGGAAGTGAGTGAACGTTCAGCAGGTGACATTTTTAAATTGGGCTCAATAGGAGATGTTAACGTTGACTTACGTTGTTGCTGCATCTTCGTTTGTTGTGACTGAAGATCTTTGATAGTTGCATGAAGTTTATCGATTTCATTTCTGGCATCAGCCAGTTCACCTCGCAGCTTGGCTTCGCACTGAAGAAGTGCTGCTTTGTCTCTTTGATCTTTTGGGATAACTTTATACATGTTGAGTAGTACAGACATTTCTTTTTGTGATTCTTGTGAACGCCTAGAATAAGAATATTATTGTAAATTCGTACTCAATAGAATTAAGAAAAACTGCAGGATACTTACTTCAGTTGTTCTTTTAAATCACGAATAATCTCATTAGACGGCGAAGAACACGAGACATTAGAACGAAAGTCGGAAGTAGATTCCTAAAATGTAAACAGAGAGTATATACATGTTATTTCAAAACCTTTCATTCAGTAATAAATTGCAACAAAAGTTGTACTTCTAAATATTGTAAGTTCTATCGGTTATTTTGATGAACTCTGTTAATCCTAATGAGAAAACAAAAATGTTGATATGGGAGCAGATAAAATAGTAACAACTATAGTTGTCTACTGATTAAGTTGTATCCATCGCGATACATTTTATACTGAATAGTGTTCTAGTGAAATTATAATTAACGCTGATAATTAAATCTAACTAAAAAAAAATAACGTTATAAAATATGAAAATCTACAAATCAAGTAAGCAGCAGTTAGTTAATGCCATATTCAACAATCATACAGATTTTAAACAGTATTTCCATGCTAATTCAAAAAAAAACGCAACACTACCAAAAATATCTACCTGAGCTGAAAATTTTCTCCATTTATATAAGTATTCAAATCGTTTAAAGAATTAGATAAATAAGTAGAAAAAGGTGTAACTGAAGCATCTCATTTTGTGTAAAACTCGTACTACGTGCTGATATGGTATATAAACATAACCTAATGTGTAATTTGCGGTAGGCTCTAAGTTGATCACACCATAAAAACACAAACTGGATCACAATAACACTGGAAATATAACACTTATCAACGCCGAAATAGACATGGAAACATAGAAAATGTCGATCATGGTAAGTTATTAAAATAACATGACAGTAAAATGAATATACTTATTTGTATGCATGAAATATTTGGTCTTATTTACTCCTCCTAATATTTATACTTGCGCTGAGCCAGAAAAATAGATCATTATTTGCAGATAAACTTGAACCAGATCGCAAAACGTCAGAAATTTAATTTCCGTATTTGGCGAGATATAACAAAGATATTATACTGATTTAAAAAATGTCTGAAACTAATCTTTTAGACATCAATTTTAATTAATTAAACTTACAGTTTTCAAAACTTTTTCGGGAACACTTCCATTGACATGAGAGCTTGCTGAAGTGGTAACTGTGCCAGATCGAGCAGTAGATGAACTTGGAGAACTATACTTAACATTTTCCTCTACTTTTATAGGAATTGAATTTTTCGCTTTCAATTCTGGATCAGCAGTTGGTGATTCAACCTCAATAAGAAAAAAGTCATTAATAGACTTAATGTTACATGATACGTTAGCATGGAAATTTGAGAAAGGTAAAGTATATAATTAAAATAGTAACAGATATTTTGTTTTCTATGGCGTAATGTCTGATCAAATAGAAGTGAAATGCGAATTTACAGAAAAATGTTTACATAAACTATTAAACGCTTTTCATGAACAAACATTGTTGCTTTGTTTATGTTAAAAGAAAAATTCATATTAAAATGAATACTTACATCTGGCATTGTTACTGAAGTCTGAGGTAGATTTGAGCTTTGGGGGGTTGATGGTGTCGATTGATCTGACTTTTCACATGCAGCAATAACAGCTGCAGTTGCCTCTGAAAGCGCCGTACGGACACGAACTAACTCATCCTCTGTACATTTCAAATCCGCACGTATCTAGATGCATTGAAGTAAATTTTGAAATTGAACATAAAATACCAAGGTGTATTAATTTTACTATAACATTTTATTTATTCATTATACTCAAGGATGATAATTCAGTCATATACTGAAATCAATATCTACTGAGTATATTTTAATAAATAAAAACGTAAATATCACTAAGTTAATATATTTCTTCTGTAGCATAGTTAAAATGATGGGTAAACAACTCAAAAATACGTTCAAAATAAGTATAAAAAAACTGACCATTTCACGTTCCTGTACAGTTTCTTCACATTTTCTACGATAACGAGTCACTTCAGCTTTTAGTTGTTTGTTTTGTGTTTGGAGTGTGGAAATTAGACTACGCATTTCGCAACTGATAGGACCAGCTTGTTCATTATGTGTCAATGCTTGCTTGAAATCCAATTCCATAGTTTCATATTTGTGTCTTAGTTGAGAGTATTGCCCTTCAATGAGCAGCATTTCAGATCGCATCTGATTCTGTATAGCTGCTTCATTTGCCTAATACAAAAGAACCAAATGGTAAATATTAAACAGAAAATTCTTAAAAAACATAATGCTATTGAATTTTATCTACAGAATAATGTGTTCCAGCTATATGATGACGTTGGACAACTTGAGTTTTAAAAATAACAGAAGTGGAAGTCATACAAGTATTCTACTGAAATGACTAAAAATCAGTTAGGATATAATGAATAAAATGAATGTTCAGTAAACAAACATGCAGTTGTAAACCCATTTGCAATTACCACTTGAATATTTACAATATGAGGTGCATTTTGTTTTAAAATGAGAAACCACGCGACAATAACCGATTATCATTAACATTACTTTGAAAAACCATTTGGAATATTTTATAGGTTTGTAATTGTTGTGACTTTTCAAGTAACAGGTTAGTTCTATCTTTCTTGACTGACAACTCCAAAATTGGTTACTACCACAGAGAAATTGTAGTATATAATAACAACAATATTCACAAATAATTAATAATTCAACCGGGTGGTTTTTCAGATAATTAAGCTGCGAATACTTTCCAAGTCATCTTTTGCGATTTCAATCGGTCTTAAAAGAATTCATTTTATATTTACGAAAATGCAGAATTAATATTTTATTCCATATGAAGGATCAAAAACCTACAAGTAAGAACTTTAAACAATTTTATGTAAGCCACTCTCTAAAAGAAACTTCTTTACCCGACAACACAGTGCAAAGCCAAGAAACCTATGACATTCAGATCATATGTATTTTCTTCAGAAATGCTATTATATTACGTTGGCTGAACAGAGAATTATGTGAATATTAGGTAAAAAGTAGTAATAGGTTCTCTCGTGGTTGAGTGGTGTGAATGACTGTGTTCATTCCCAGTTGAAAAGAAAGCAGACACCTATAGAGGAAGTGATTAGCTGTGACAAGTGCCCTGTTAAATACATGACAAACAAAGGAATTTTATGGGGAAAATAACGTTAAAGAATGGTCTGATATCATATGTCTAGTTTGTTAGACAAATCCTAATGATCCATATAATGGAATATATGCCATGTAATCAAGAATCCCCTGTGAAACGTATGAGCAGATATGAATAGAGTTCAGAATACTTTCTGAGAAACAATTTATGAGAAATGTCACTATGATTTACACTGTCAAGTTAACAATTTTCAATAATAAGTTTTTATTCAATTCTAAGTGTTAAGATGTGCAAAACAATAGTTGAATCAGTTGTAAAATATCTCGAAATTACTTTATGATTATTTGGCACGTATGTAGTTTTAAGCAATCAAGATCATGATCCTTACGTGGGCTGATAGAGGTATGTATGTATGTTAAAGGAAAATTCTAAGAACAGGAAACGTCTTCCAAAAGGTTGAAGGATAGGATATAAATGTATAAACTTATCAAAGAACTGCATATGCTATGCTAACTCGGTCTCTAGATGATAGAACACGTATAAACTAATCAACAAGGAGTGAACTGCTTCTACATTAAAAAAAGATCCCTTTTGTGGATGAAATTGTTTTCATGAAATCATATAACCTTCTGAGTTGCTATTAATGTTCATTTACAGATAATTCTGATGAAAACACTAAGGCTTTGTAATGTGTTTAGACGACAGACACAGAATATAAAAACAATTAACAGAAGGATTATATAAAACATATAAGTAGTGAATTAACTCATTAGATATGAGTTACACCTTAAGTATAAGCGCTAAGATACTACCCAGTCGCTTAAACCAAAGCAAATGCAGTGGAGTCTGACTCTGAGACTAAATGGTCACAAATCGAAAGACCTGATCACTAAGCAACCGTTTCCGAAAAATTATATTTACAACAAACAATTGGAAAAAAGAAAAATTAATTTTAGGACGCACCTCCATCTCTTCTATCTGTTTCAGATGATTATGTCTGTTATTCTGAATAGTACTTCTAGCTTCCTCTAACTGGCTTCTTAGTTGGATAGCTTCATTATATAGAATATTGAATTGAGTTTTTAAGGATAAATATTGAGGAGATTCTGTAATAATATGCTCGGGAATATCTCTTAACTAATAAAGCAAAAGATATATCAATAAAAAAACAATGGAAGTAAAAATTTGAAACGTGAATTATATGATGGATTGTGATGTACATACTAACTCAAATGATTAGACAACAATAAGAAATCAAACATGTTTGTCACAGTTTTAAAAAGAGAATCCTTAAAACAAACTGACTACCTACAATTACAATGAAATATTGGTTCAATGGTCTCGATTTCCGGCCACCCTCAAGTCATCTTGAAAACAGCATAAAGGGAATGGTTTGATTCAAATAACCTTTATCATACTGATGTTAATGACAATCTAACAGAAACTCGAAAGAGAAAAACAGGCTCTTAAGATACTACATTTGAATCCAAACAAATAATTGCACTACTGAGTATAAACAACACTGGAGATTTCCGATGACATAATGATATGAAGTGCATTGAAAAAAATTAAATGGGTTCATCGAAATTCTGTAAGATTCCAAATGACAGAGAAATCAGGAAATTTAAAAAAAAATTCAAAACTAACTTGCATATTCAATGAAGCACATTCTGCAACTTTGTCTTCCAAGTGACGTTGAAGGCGCTCTAATTCATTTATACGATTATTTGCCAACTCACGGTACTCCTCCAGTTCACAAGCCAAGTCATTATATTTATTCCGTGTAATTGATCCATCAACACTTGAAGGATCTTCACGACCTACAAGAAAAAGAAAATATTATTGAACTATAAAATAATATAATAACGAACTACAAGGTCACAAATTTAATGGAATTTTCAATGTCAAGACCTTTGTAACTAACTACTTGTTCATAAAAAAGTAAAGTGCATTCATAAATATGTATCGATTCAAGCATAGAGAGAGGAATCAACAAGATGGGAAGCAAAAAATACGAAATAACATCAGTGGGGAACTAAGCATACTAAATAAATTTAAAAAGACACCATGAAAAGTTCGGAAAAATAGAAAGCTTGAAATGCAGAGAAAGAAAACATCTGTACCTTTTCCATCATAAATCCTAACGCCTAAATTTTGTGAGCTTGAACAATAGGGCTTCACATATTATATTAGGAACCAAACTTTTGTAACATGATCCAGTTATAGTTTGGCAATATATAACGTCTTTAACTTAACTAATCCCGTGCTAACCAAGAAGTTTAGCTTTTTTCACTAAAGTGATTTTTCTACTGATTATTTCTGACAGACTTCTATGATGATTTTGGATAAATTATCATGCCTGGTAATAAATTAAATACGTCCCATGTTGCGAAAAATGTGATAGATTATAAGAAACCGTATATGATTACGATTGAGAAAACGTCGAACATCTAGCCAAAGAAAAGGAATGCCTTAACTTGACTATTTATTTTAGTACAAGTATCAATTGATGTTAATGTTATTAAATCCCATTTTTTATACTATTATTGGAAACACTAAAAATAGAACTTTGACAAATCTCTACACAAGAATAATCGTCAGTAGACTTGAACGCAAAACTTTACACCTGAGTACACGCATAATACTTAGTAATTTGAATAACAATCATGGATAAACAGAGGGGAGCTATAATTAATAATATAAAAATATGAAAACCAAATCAAATATATACCTGGAGAGTCTGAGCATTTGAGAGCTGATAATTCAACTTCCATTTTTTTATTCTTTTCCTGGGCTTCATACAGACGATGATCTAAACGCGTAACTTGTTTCATTGCTTCCGCAAGTTTATAATCTAAATCCTCATACTTAGCTTGCCATTCCGCTGACGCGTCACTATTCGTTTGAGCTAAGTCTTGTAGTTCACGAAGCTGAAAATCGACCGTTACAAATTGACGATTAAAAATATGCATAATAAATTGACATATATACTAAAAGTTCTTAGTGACTTCTAACACTAACATTGATTTTATATCCAAGAAATGGGATGGAAAACGCTTTAATACAGTTATTGAATAATTTCTGGGTGAATGTTCAACCATAACATTGCAATGATATGGGATAGGAAGGTCTGAAATGTTAGTTTTGGAATGAGGTTAAATTGACGAATACATCGTACTCCATTCACAAAATATCAATTTTTTTCGAGTTATACCTAAAAATACTATTCATAGTGCATATTTTTGTCTATTAATCACCACAATTTAAGGAAATTTACGATTCCGAATTCCAAGTTTACAACTTTTGACCTCTTGGTCTTTTTTAAAAACAAATATGACGCATTATTAAGATATTCGTTTGGAATTTAATGGCCATTCGTTTGTCTCTTAATTATTAAACATACATGAATAACACATCAAGATGTGTATTGATATAAAGGGAAGAAATAAAGAATTTACTAAGTTATCAACTACAACAGCATGTAAGAATGACCCGAAAAAAACTTGCTTCCTTTAATCACCTACACTTTATATGACATCTAATCATCTTATTGTGTCACCATTTTGTATACAAGTGTCACTATAAGAAAAATTTATTTATTTATTTGAACACATAAATATTGGTACAAAGGGGCACCAAATACATATGTGTCTCATAATAACAATGAGAATGTGAATAGATAATGTAAAGTGAGTATAAGAAAAAAAAAAAAACGAACAGAAATTAGTGTATGATAGTGAAATAATAATGATAATAATGGGAGAAACAATTCAGTTACCAAAAATACAACCAGAAAAATTTCTTTTAGTTAAAGAAGTTACATCCATTTTTTCTGGAAAAATAGTAAAAGAAACTTAAAGCAGGATCGCCATTGGCTTCTATTATGAGCCACTGATACTAGTTCATTAGAAGCCTTATGTCAATGATTAGGTTTGATGAACACTTATCAGTAGTTTAATCCATATCATCGAGTGTCGTTTATGGATCACCGTACTATTATTCATCATTTTTTGACAGCTGAAAACATGTTTATCACGAAAATATAAAAGTACCATTCATAACATACACCTAACTGAAATTATGATTATTTTATCGAGGAAGTAACAGTCAAGAAATGAATTATGGAAAAGTTGGTTAAAACCACATACAGCAATACAGACTGAAAAACTTGTACATACGCGAAGACTACTTTGTCGATGTTTAGAATGCAAATTTGTACAAAGGCTTTGGAGACGAAGATTTTCCTTGTTTAAAAGTGTTATTTCCTCGTGCAAATCTACTGCACCAGATCTGCTGCATGTTGCTGAAGCAGGCTCCTGAGATGAACTAGTTGATTGATTGTTACCTTCAGAATTAGAGTTTTGTGTGCCATAAGGAGCCGATGAACTGGAATGAATAGGTAAAATATTATCACTAATTTCAGACCCAACAGAAACTGATGCGGTTTCAGTAGTGTTTCCAAGCAATTGACGCAAACGAAACTGATGAGTAACCATTCTGAAAAACAAATTATAAAGATTAAGAAAGTATGGAGAATTTGTTAGTGAAATTAAATTGAAGGGATTGATTTCATAAAATCTATACAGTACGGTATAATAATTTTCACTCTTGCTAACAAAACATAGAATGATCTACATAAGGAATACATGATCAAATAACGTAAAAAGAACAAAACTAAATACGATTAAAACATGTCACTCAAGTATAAGATGTTCCGGACCAATATAACAGACGATTAGCGAATGGCAAAAAAATATGGAGCACAAGCTACTCTTGTACAAAGAAATAAGATACGATACATGAAAATTAAGACACAAACTTATCAAAAGAACTTGCTTTTCATAGGCAGATAAGAGGCGTGCAATAATACGCTTGGAAAAATGCACTCGTTCTTGAAGCTTTTCTGGAACTTCTTCCTTGTCCCATGAAGCCAATTGTTTGAGAAATGATTCTGTAGATGTTGAAACTACGAAAAAAGTGGAGTGAGAATGAAAGATAAACAAAGAGAAAATAGGGATGTCAAGATGTTGCTGTATCTCAAATATTTGGTGGTTATCTTTGCATATCATAATAATACTGAACAGCAGTTTCTCTGTCAACGTAGTGCTCAAGATTATTGAGTCACTAGTCAGGTTGCACAGACCGAGAGGCTTGCACCCAAACTTCATCAAAGGAGTCGCTTTCAGAAGTTTAGTCTAAATAACACAGGTCAAAACACCCGTTATGGTAATGTTTTTGTCCTAGGGCAAATGTAACTGAAGAGATACCAGTCATATAAGGTAGTCTAACGCGATTAGATAGATCAGATGATTAATTGCACCTCCTATAACGACGAAAAGATGGCACTCATTTAAGCAGAGATAACTTAAGTTTGGAAGAAATGAAAGATATCGTTATACATGAAATATCTACATGACAACGGTAGCCGGGAAACTAAGTGCTTTGTACAAAAAGAAAATCGAGTACGAAAAAACAGTAGGAGAGAACGTCAATTAAACGCTGTTGAAAGGTGTCAGTTAAGCGTCTGAAAGTAACAACTTGAATATTAATAACAGTAGTTGTTCGAAGGTAAACTTTCATAACAGATACAGACGTTTCGCGTGGCATTGGACTATATTGAGTAGAAGCTACAAATGGTCAGAACGTTGGAACAGCTCCCAGAAAGCGCAACAAAGCCTCCAGAGGCTCTAAAGAAGTCGGACTCCGTCCAATCAGAACCTAGTAGAACTTTCCAGGATATCAATACAACATGCTACGATTGGAGAACTATATAAACTCCCTACATGGGGATTGGCTGGATTGTAATAATGTTATAGCCTATACCGAAAACTAAAAATACACGTGTTTCTGCGCATTTCGTACACTTACTCAATGAACGCTTCTTCGGCCTTTTTCGCCTTCTCGACTTGAGACCGAATTCTACATGTTCGAGTGGCAAAGCCGTATACCGTATCTACCGTAATCAGCCAGAGGACGAAAAACTAATAGCAGGAATGGGATAATGATGAGTTCCAAGAGCTTTATTTATCCCTGTTGAGTAATCAACACATAAGTGAACGCTCTATTTACCGAGTTTCGTGACCATTATGGATTTTTATTTTGCATACTAAAAATAATACGCAATTCTTTTACACGAAAAATACTTGTGTCGAGCGCTGACTAGGAAAATTAAAACAATTTACATAACACACAAATAAACACACCCATAACCAATTAAAAATTGATTCAAAAATCGATTAAGTTACATTGAAAGATAAAAATAAGCTTTTAAAACAGAAGCATACTTTCTTCCTCAGCATCCGAATCAAAACGCTGAAGTATAATCAAACTATCTTCATCGAGCTAAAATTTCAAAAGAAATTAATTAGAAACAACAGTGATAAGCCAGTAATTAAATTCCATCTGAATGACAAAAACTTATGACCATCAAAAAATTGGCGTTACAAACACAACAAAGTTGTGCCAAACTGTTCATGTTTGAACTTTGTTAGCCCTCAGGTAGTTTAGAAGGTAAATACGAATGGATTTCTGTTCAAATCCTATCCCGAAATACCAGCGCTTTTCTTCGCTTTTAGGATTGGTTGAAGTTAGGCACTACCACTATTGGATGCTAGCTTAATGATCGAGAGGTTAAGGGTTCGCGCACGAGACCAAAGCTCCAGATTTCAGATCCTACGTGAGGGATCATCCTATCAGCTGATAAACAGAATTCTACATGAGTGTAAGCATGCTAAATGATATGGGAATGTGATGTAGGTCTACAGAAAAGATAAACTATGAAAAAGTAGTGAATAAATAAACTTCAAGTTTCCGAATTTCACCAGTTAATTCAACACCAAAAAATAGTTAGTTAAGAAATGATTGTATGCTTAAAAGATTTTATAATACACTTATATGGTATGCCCTGCCAAGATTTTATTTTACATGTTATGAAACCATTCTACGAGGACACCCACAAAATAAAATAATGCTACTGTCTAACAGTGATGGACTATGAAATGTTCATTGGAGATGTTATTTTTAAACAAGTGTTTTTGCATACAAACCTTACATCTATGGAAAGTATACGCAATAAATGTGAATCGATGTTAGCAAAATGACAGTACATAGACTGGAGAACTTCATATTTACGCAGTTGTATTCGCTCGTTTTGAATTAATGTGGTTTGTTAGTGACCCTACTTGTGCTTCATTTTTAGTGGTTGATAGTTAGTGTAATTGAAACTAGTAGACAGCAGTCAGATTCTAAGTTCAATTATTCAATATGAATGTCGACATTTTCGAATCCTATAAGATGTACTAAATCTCTGTTCACTTGTTATGAATACAAATGAAAGTTGTTTATTCGGTACGTTCGACAGGAGCAGAGTGAAACATCAACAAAACACAACTTTTGGTAAACTTATTCTTAACGTCACTGTAATTTCATGAAATATGAAAATGAGATATTGGTTTACGTACATAGAACGAACGGAAAATTACCAGTACTGTATCATACTATCAGCTGCTTGAATTTCAGATTTTTTAGTAATTTGTTGACTCTCCTGCATTACGATCTTGGCATCCATAAAATGGTAATCCAATTCCATGGAATACACTGAGTATCCCAACTTAACACAGTTTGATTTCCTAAACTTGAAAAATCCAAACAAATTGGTCCTATCGAAACCCGAAATATCGACTTATAACAACAAGTGGGGACCTTCGTTATAGAATAAAAAGTAAACAAACTGAAGATCGGACATACTACCTGTGTTGATGAACACAAGGTCCATATGTTTAAAGTGATAAAGTTGGCAACGAATAAATCGAAAACCAAGAAGCGCAATCAAAAACAACTGTCAGATTTTAGTAAATCTGATTTGTCTTCAATTACTTTTGGAAACGTCTAGTTCTTGAATAGTAAATAATTATTAATAGATTACAATGTGAATTTTTTTCTTGTGTTGTAATGTACACTGTATGCCTTAAGGAAAATACAAGTCTGTAATATACAAGACACTATGTACTGAGGAGTAATATTAATCCTACATATCCAGCGAACAATCACTAGACTAAACATAGCAGTAACAATCGATGCGAAATATTTTTGTCAAAATCACCTGATTCCAGTAACGATTGACTACACAAAGTAGAGCATCATCCTTAGTTTGGCGATTTTCCAGGTGTTCAATACGTTCCTTCAATTCAGCAATGGCAGCTCGACGTTCCATCAAAGCTTCCCATAGTTTTTTATTTTGAAGCTGTAATGCTCTTTTGTCAAGTTCCTCCAAGGATGAGATTCGGATGAATGATATAGGCTCTGATGCAGCTGAAATTAAACGTTTACTGATAGGGGGAGTCGAATCTAATTGTGAAGTAGATCCATGTAGTAAATCATGGTCCGGATTTGTATCTTCAGAAAATGACCTCTTCATCTGTAAAAATTAAAAAAACATTTATGACGCCACAATATAAACACCCATTTCAAACTTGCAGAATATTGTGATACATTCAGTATACAAAGATCTAGTTTGTGTGAGAAAAAGGATCGAATACCACTTGCGAACACTAACATCTTCATAAACAGCTACTTTACAAATCAAGTTATTCTAAATTTATAAATAAAAGATCTGTTCATTTTGTTTGGTCAAAATTTTCAGATAAAGCTACCCTATAACTTAAAACCAGTCTTTCGGATTACTATTTTAATAAAACTTCCTGAAAAATACACAACAGCCAGCCGGCAATAAATATTAATTCATATAGTTTACTCATCTCTTTAATTGACAAATCATTCCTATTCAAATACTAACGATAAAATGAATGAATACAACTAGGCGACCGATCTGCTTGCTACAGACTATCTCGCTTACATAATTAACTGAATATGTAAAAATGCTGCTAGAAGTATATCTAAACTTTGATTTTAGTAACTAAGAACAGAGTCAACCTGAAAACTTCGATTACTAAACGTACATGCAACTACGTCACACACAACAGTAACGAAGAAAAATAATCAAAAAAATATCTATGAAAAAGTATGTATTTTTGTTCGAATCACCGTTGAAAGGCAGTTACGGCAGAGTTACAAGAAATCTTTGTAGGAAGAGAGTGAAATATCATATGAAAGCAAACTGGGACTTTAAAAATTGAAAGATTGAGAGAATACCACTTTTCAATTTACACAATAACAACAAGAAGGTTCGTTTTTTACACTCGAAGGGTTGAACAATAACAATATCATATCAACATAAATAAAAATATCAAAACAGCGTCAACGAAGTGATAAGTAATGCAAGACTCGAGGAAGCATTTTAGCTAGAGAAAAAATGATATAAATAGTAAAGCATTAATCAATTCTCATAATATACCAGGAAGCCCTGTGAAGTTAAAGGTAGCAAGTCAAATATCCGTTCGATTACAGAAACAATGACAAAGAATAAGCTAGTGGGCTAACGATATAGTCAAACCACACAGCATCAGCCCGATAAGGAATCGACGTTTAACAGGATAACAAAAATTACAAAAGGAGGCACATATGGTGCTTCGAAAATATCGCATTTTCCATACAGATGTGTAAAACACTTTTAAGAACCAAGAAAATTACCATGGCAAGAAAACTTATAGAAGAGAAAATAACTATCGAGGTAGGAATGCATAATGAGTCGATAGAGAAAAAGATAATCACCAACATATGAATAAATACATGATTGTAAAAATCAAATAACTGATCATTTGTTGGTTTGACTAATGGATAAATTAAATAATTGCAAAAATGAAAACAACACAGAGGAAAAACGCATAAAATACTCATATAAATGTACACTAACATGCAAACATTGCTCAAGTTACAAATGGTAATTAGCCAACGATTTGACAGTTTCTAAGTGAAATAAGATATATAGAAATATCTAAATAAAGAGTTTGGTACATCTGATAGTTAGGAAATCACTCAGTTCACCGAGTGTCATAAATAAGAAAGTAAAAATATGAATGTACTATGGTTGGCTAGATGAAGACATCCATTGGATCAAAATAACAATGAATTTATCAGATAGTATACGTAAATTGTGTATCCATGTAAAGCATTGCGTCTGGGAATACAATTTACGTGTTTGTGACCAAAAACTTTTGATTCAAGATTTGATTCAAAATGATGCTTCAAGAAAAGATCAGATATTGAAATGGGAAAAAAATACATTGTTAACAAAACCGTCATAATACAATTGATATATATATATATATATATATATATATATATATATATATATATATATATATATATATATATATATATATATATATATATATATATATATATATATATAATATTCCTGGGTAGGAATCAAAAACAGAATCTTGTGAACAGTACGTGTAAGGTATTGTACATGAAGAAACTCACAGATGAGCTTGTTTGGGATGAAAATAGCACACAACAAAAAATATATCAGTTGCATACAAAATACGCTTATCAGAAAAGGGAAAATGACAAAATTCCCATCAAAATTCTAACACTCATGAAATAAAACTAGGTGTTCATAATACATACCAATCCAATTAGTTCATACAAATGAAATTATGAAGCCTGAGAAACAGAAAAAATTGAACAGCTTCATTATTTTTCTTTCAACGAACAGAAACTATTTCCTCTGAACATGCAAACTTTCTACTGCAGCTAATGGAGTTTGTGGTTGTGATTTTCCCAAATTCATAAGTCTGATATTTTGAGGATCAAACATCATATGCTCATTCATGAAAGGTCGATTGGGAGAGTTATGAGATGCAATTGAAGGTATGTGTACAGAAGAACCAACCAAACGGGATGAAGTAGCAAGCGCTGCTGCAGCAAGTGCTGATACCTGTGCGGCAGCAGAACTTGATGGGTTTACTAGACGTGTGTCAAGTGGTTTTGGAATTATCCCATTAACATGTTCGCCCGAGCGCGATGAATATGGATCACAAATACCAGTTTCCATCACTCGACTATTTTCTAAGCGATGGGAACCAAGAGGTAAAGCATACGTAGGTCTTACAGAATTACTGGTGGATATATTGACAGTGTTTATGACAGTTGAATGGCTATCAAGTGGGTTGTTGCTGTAGGTTAAATTAGTACTGGCGACGTCCATATCCTCGAAATCTTCAGCAAAAACAAACGGCTGTGATTGAGTCGGGATAGAAGTTTGAATAGTATTTGGAAGATGTGCAACCAACGTAGACTGCAACTGCTCGGGGTGAGGAGTTCCAACATGTAGAATATCAGTTCCTTGCATAAGTGTATTTGGATTTGCCATGATTGTATGTCCAACGAAGCCCGGAGAACTAAAATATGTAAAACATATCAATGTACCCAGTTACCGTATCATCATAACAAATCAGACATGGATACTTAGAAAACCCTTAGTTGCAATACAGATATCTCATACACCCTAAATGTGATTAATATGCAAAAATCTGAAACTCTTACCTGCTGGATGAAATCCCAGACCTTCGACGCGAGCGTGAACTGGTTTGCCAAGTAGATACCCATGGATCACGAGCCATGTCAATATGGATTTGGGGGTCAACATAAGTAAATCCTTCAAAAACATCAGAAACCATTGCAGATATTGGCAAGCCCTCATCCGGACTTTCGACGGGATTTTCTTGAGTGAATTTGGGATCGAAAAGAGAAACATCCGTGTCAGATGTCAAAGTGGGTCGGAAGGGTGGTTCGACCTGCTTTTTCAGAACACGATCCCAATCAGTATTACGAAAGAATGGGTGCATCTTGATCGCCTCGGAATCGGATGGACCAGAACCAAGGCGTCTACTGACATCAACAACTAAAAGCTAAAGGAATTACAGAATAAATTAAACATGTAAACGAGTGCTGATGACCAAAACGGATATATCAAACAAGAAATTATTCTTTCAGAGAGGGTTATATTGACCTTTCCTTCATATTGATCAGCAATCATGAGAAATAGGGCACTTTTAGGAATTGCTAAACAAAGCAATCAACAATTAATTTAACCAGTCAGTCAGTCAGTAACAACGTAGAACGTAGTACGTACGTACATCAGTTCGAGTTGCCACACCACATTAGCACAGAAATGCAGTGGTCGATTCAAATCCCGTAGTGGTAGAGGTAATAAGAATATAAGCAGTAATCGGGAAGATTAGTGTTTGGAGATGTTACTTAAAGAGTATAATACAGTGAAATAAATTTGGGAGGAGAAAAAAAGAGACAAGGAGGAATAAAGAGATCAAAATTTGGGAGATCACAAAGAGTGTGTGCACCTGCGCCATTGCAAACGATTTTGAGATGACTTTAATATGTCTTGATCTTCGTAAAATAAATTACTGATTTGACGACCAGAGATTACACTTAAGATGTTTGCTTAATTTTTCGTTCAATACATACTGCAACGGAGCACTTTCAACTGAGTTATCACACTTCGAAACAGTGAAAAGACAATCAACAACAGATTAGGATTAATATAGATGACCATGGGCAGCAAGGAACAAATTGCTAATAAAATATTTGAGATTTAGAAGTGTGTATACCGTTATACAAATCAAGCCAAGAATGAGTGACTACACGGATTGGTTGAGCGTTTCAGTCTGGTCGCCCGTAGCCACTATTTAACATAATCCGGCTATAGCTAGCCGATGTAAACTGTAAATTGACGTGTAACGCGTGAATCAACCAAGCCATAGGAGGTCTATAATCTTGTTGAGTGTCATATTAACTTATGGATCACAGCTTTGCCCATTTTTTGTCAGGTGTCCTAACCATCCTAATCAAGTAATGACAGACGAATTTCTTGAGGAATATCATTGATATGCACTGTCGATGCTCCTAAAAACTACTCTTTTATTGTAGTACTTGTTTTCTGAATAATAATTCAGAAGTCAGTAAGCATCTTCATAGTTATAGCATCCCTTGAAGAAATTATTAATTTATACAAGTGTGAAATATTGTACTACGGTTTGCGATGCCCGACCTTTACTAATTTGCTAACGACCATATTCTAGGAAGCATCGAAACTAAGATGTCAAACTTTACATTTTAGAGACGGTCACAAGTTATTCAAGAACATGGTTAACGTAACTAATTATGCGAAAGTCGAATTACACAACTTACCTTGGAAATAAGTGATACGGCTTCCCGACTTAAATAAGGTACAGGTATGAAATCACCTCGTAATATCTAAAACAAAGTAAAATTGCATTAAACGACTAGCCTATAGATCTATCTCGTTGACGAACACGAATTCTTCATGATACGCCACAAAACAGGGTTCATTCAACTTTAGAATCTTATTACAATATTTGGTTTAAAAACACTGAACAGTTTACAAAACATTTCCAACCTGCACAAGTATCACATATTAAATGGTTCTTATGTCAGTTAAGCTTTCCATATCCGCACCAGTTTCAAGAAAAGACATGTACGATGCAATTGATTTTGTTACTGATCATTTAAGTGGGTTTATCTTGTTTCGTAAGTGAAATTAAAACGCTAGATCTTGAAAATGGATTGGATTAAAAATACTGGAGATATTCGAAATTCCCTATATTCCCACAATTCAAAGTCCAAAATATTTTCTATTTCTTTTTTACAGTTGACATTGAGGTGTTTCACACTTTTGCTACGTACTGACGGAAGTCAATCGTTTACAAACTTATCAAAACAAATGTAATTCCCCTAAGTTTAAAAAAAAACAAGATTGCTTACCAAGTCAATAGTTTGTCTTCTATCATCGCCTGTAAATGGAGGCTGAAAGTGAGAATAATATGAATCAATTTCCACGTAAAATAATCAAACGAATATACAATTAAGTGAAGAACTTACAGATCCCGAAAGCATATCATACATAAGCGTGCCAAGACTCCACCAATCAACGGCTCTCCCGTGTCCTTGACGTAACAATATTTCAGGAGCCCTATAAATGAACACAAAATTGATATTAATATCTCAAAAAGACCGCTAAACAGATCAGAGTGGATAGTGAGTGTCAATGCAATTTAAAGTCCGCACGCTACTAGAGAAAGAAAACAAGAAATAAGTTATATGCCTTGACAACAAATCTTTGTATCTTCGATTACGTGAATGAGATCGCGAATAAAAACACTTCCAGAACATAACATTTAAAGTTTATTTAATTAGAAAAATTAAACAAGAGCGATGTACTGAAACAACTGCTTCACAATGAGGTTGAAGACGGAATTATTTGATTTCAATAAACCCGATTTACTTACAGCAAAGAAAGCATTTACTAGTATCTGTCGTCTTCCCACTAACATACATAAAATTCCCTTATATAAACCGCTTTGTAATACTGCAAATTAGATAGAAACGAAAATGAGAAACAATAAACCCTGAATCAATGGTCGGAAAAGTCTGCTTGTCGTGAAGCTTTGAAGTAGGTGAGGCTTGCTAAGGGAAAAGTTGTTCGGTGTTCCTCAAAGCTAAGTGGCTTATCAGCTGAAGCCAGTTCATGAAAACCATCTAAAAATTGGATTGACTTGTACAACTAACCAAATAAACAGGGTTACACTTTTCCAGCTTTACTTATCATAAACAATACTCCAGTACACTCCGAAATTATTTAGTACTTACATGTACTCAATAGTCCCGCAGAATGTGTGAGTTAAATTATCACGATCGACTCTCTCTTTAGACAATCCAAAATCCGTTAGTTTAACATGCCCTTGATGGTCTAAAAGTACATTTTCGGGTTTCAAATCTCGATAAACAATCCCCATCGAATGAAGATGACCAATGGCAAGAGTTATTTCCGCCAAATAAAAACTAAGGAGAACAGAAGGGAAAAAATCAATCCAAGTTATTTCATTGCATCATTTCTAAAGTCATTTACCAAATAAAATGATGAAAAAAGTGCTGGAAATGTTTTATTTTTAAATATTTGGCTTGAGGTTTAGAATTAAAATTTTAGGTCCCATGTAAAATGACAAACCTTATCTGCCTGATTTCGCGCCCTAAATTAAACGAAGCAAGAGCTCACTTAAGCTCACAGTCGTGTGCGAACAATTCGTAAAAGCCAAGATAGCGCAGTATTTCCGTCTCACAATAAACTGCAACTTCTAAAAACCGTCCGTCAAATCGACTGATTCATCTTACGAACCAACTTAAATTAGATATCTACTAAAAATCAGGAAACATTGAACTTTTCAGCCGCGTGCGTTCACGAACTTGCGACAACGGAAAGTAGAACCTTTGATCTCTGGCGAATGCTTAGCCCGTGAAACGCTAGGCCCTAAGCTAATGATGCTTGTGTTTAACTTTGGTCGATTCATGATATTGCATATGATGTTTTGATGATCTCGATTAACTTTGGGCACAAAGACCTTGATTAGAATTTTCTAACAACACTAGATTGCTTGCGATCCGGATGTTCTGGGTAATAAAACATTTTATTGAAGTCACTAGAAAGTAGAAAGCACTGACCGAAATTAATTTAATCTTACGCACTTAAATATAAACATACTGTGATTGGTGAAAATAATAACATGATCTTAAAAGCCCTGTTGACGCGAATGAAAACATAGTAGCTCTGTACAGTCAAAACTCGGGTACCATATTTTCTGAGAAATCTACAAAATACACAAACCCATGAAGCAATGAGAACTACATATTTCAGATGTTGATAAGTGGATGATTCAGTTCTTAACTAACTAGTTGAAATTTAATGAAGTGTATAAAAGACAATTCTCAATACTTTTATTAGTTGTTACTTTGACGAAACTAAGATTTACAGGAACTTATGTCTTGTAGACACCCAAATACCGCCTTGAGCACTGTGTAACAACTTTTCTCGTGATTTCCTGCTGAAAAATGAACTGAATTGTTGTTTTATTACGCTTGAAGCCAACATTAAGTCACATAAACGAATACTACTTATCAAGAGAACTATTTCGATCACTTTTAGAAGCAAAGACTACAAACAAAATTTAAGTTAATAAGTAGCGCTTACATACTGAGACGAAATCAATAGAATGTATGAGCAAACTTACCTGGCTTGATCTTCCATAAACACTCCCTCTTTCTCAAGTTGCATGAACAGTTCACCTCCAGCAAGAAATTCCAAGACTAGGTAAAGCTTTCCAGGGGATTGGAAAGCAAAATGCAACTGAACTAGAAATGGATGCTACACAATAAACATGACATTTAGGACGTACTTTAATCATTTCGAGTATATTTCTCTCGCTTTTAGTGTGTGCAGTATCCTTTGCGTTCGTCACAATCGAGGCTTTCTTTAAAACTTTCATCGCATAGGTTTGGCCAGTATCATTTTTGCGTGCAAGGAAAACCTATACATATATATTGTAAAACAATGCCAAAGTTATACTTTTCCATAACCACCTTTTCCAAGGACTTTCAGAAGTTGAAAGTCATGTGGCCGGACTTTAGGTTGACCAGGATTCACTGTCTCTTCGCAAATTTCAACTGTTTTAATGTTTTCGTCGAGTCTACAGATTAATTAAACCAGAAATCCTTTAAGCTTACTCATCTGGTTTAAGTGGACCACGTTCAAGAAACTCATCCTATAACACTAGTATTAAAATCAAAAACCTTACCTCTACCCCTCCATTTGTCGAGCAATAATCGTGAGAATTTTCTTCGCTGTCGTCATAACTTGGAGCTTCCGGCATATCCAAATGAAACACACCAGTACTAGTCATTTTCTGGCAATCAGCATTACGACCAGACCAGTTGCAAACAGAGCGCTCTATAAAATAAGGCACGTAGTTAAACAAAACTCCTCTACTTTGCATTTTAGCCTCACGTACACTCAAATAGCTCAAAACGATTGCTCGGAAAATAAAAAATCACGATCCATTGTTGTTCTCACTACAGATCGATGGGTCAATCGTGTATATGGCGACAGGATAATTACATAACTTTTGTAATCATATTAACGAAAATAAGTTCTATATCGCTCCAGAGGCGCTGCACATATGATTACATTAGTATTCAATACGTTTTCCTTATGTATCAGTTATGCATTTTACATCCATTATCACGTCAACTACACGCCCCTGTATCATCGTATTAAAAACATTGTCGTCTCATTACTATGTATTTCCACTTTGTTAGTCACGGTATTGATTACATATTTTAACAATTTGCATTTATTTTTATCTCACTATTCAACTTTTGAGATTATAGACTTTTCCAAGGCTGTGGAATATGAGTATTTCGTCATACCGTTTTATACCAAGCAACCAATATAGTCCTAACTTACTGGGTGAACCCGGTTTCCAATCGGTTGGTAACAGTGATTCTCAACAGTAACATTTTTAATTCCAGCGTTATTATTTTTATTGGTTACTGCACATTTCTTTACGTGCAAACATTACCGTCTTATCTGTGTTGTACCACAAATATTTGTTAACAAACTTTCAAATTGGCCCATAGGTTGTCATTTCGAAATTTGATGAATCCAGTTTTACAGAATTTTATAGTTATTTTGCCATCAGTTTGATATTTCCCTTCTTGTGTTACGTCATAGATTACATTGAAAAAATATATAAATCCAAAGTTTAAGAATGTCATGCAAAACAACTCAACAAAAGTTGATGTTGTGAACTTTTTGAGCTAACTTCAGATATTCATCCTATAACCTGTTTTGCTTAAGCTGAAATTCAGTTCAGTTATTGAAAAATCCCCTTACAAATCTCTAAATACTTTTCTGAACTGATTTTTACCGTCAGATGTAACTGCTGAAGTTTATGATGTGAATAACAATGCCCAATCGACCGATATATGATATTGCAGCGGCCTCATTAGTTTTAATGTATACATCTAGTGAAGGCGCTCGATCACGCATCCGCATCATATCATTAGGGGTTACACCGTGTCACGCATCTCCTACAACAGTTAGCTGGCTTAGATAAAACGCTTCTAGAGATACCTATTGCCTTTCATATATAACTTTGAACCTCTTCACTTCTGATTTGACTGGGATGGCATATCCCTATTTAAAAGGTGTTACTGTCAAATGTATTGTCGAACTACGAATACGTTTGATACTTTCGAGCCCGACGTGATTTGGTAAAACAGTTCGTAAACTGTGAGTTCTTCCCAAGTCGGAACATTATATATCATTTTTTTAATTTTATATATTGTGATATTGTTCTCGAACATTCCTCTCGTACATCACTGCAGAACAGACGCCTAAGCTGTTTAAGACAAAGACGATTTTACCTCCCTCATATCAGCGACTGCCGACTGGTTCGATAATACGGGGACTTGGTCCTGCTACACAGAAGCTGACTTCGACAAGCACGGTCTAATAGACCCGCGTTCACAATTGCTCACAGTGGTGAAAACACTACCACGCGATTTTAACAGATACTTCACATCTAGTATGTTTGTTGGTGATGTCGCGGAACCTTACGAAACTTTTAAATAAGCTATCTTTAAATGCGAAGATCTAACCGAACGACAAAGGTTAGATCAACTTATCAACAACATCGAACTGCAACATGGATTATCAACAGAAACGTTACTATGAGTGGGAGAGGTCGTTGGTCAACGGGCCTGTTTAAACAACTCTTCTTGCCTAGGCTTCTCCGACAGGTGCAGGCGGTATTTGTCTAATCTTAAAGTACCGCTGTAGACGAACTGGATGCATCCGCCGACCAGATTCTTGAAATCCCCGGTAATTCCGGCGCCGATGTGTACCCAGTCAAAGAAAAACGTCAAACGACACAAAACGACGTCATAGACCTCTATCATACACTGACACGTTGACCTAACGTCCGTCATAACCGTAAACGATCCAAAACACCTCGAAGGAACTCAAGAAAGCGATTTGCTTCTAGATGACGAGAGACAGGTAACCTCGACAGGTGATGATATCATAATAACTATAGAAAATCTCAAACTTGCAGAAAAACCTGTAATTTTCTGAACTCCTGACCGTCTGACACGGAAAACGTTTAGTGAAACTTCCCAACCGACACGCGTTAATGGCAACCGTTGCTGGTGAGCATAGCTGCCTGTTATACATCACTGGTGTGGTAAAGAAAATTCTTTACCCCGTCGACGCTAGCGCAGGAGTCAGCGTTCTACTAGCAAACTTTAACGGTCGACTGCACGAGTCAGTTTCCAACTTACAGGTGGCGAACGAGAAACTAGTCACCACATATGGTAAGTGGTATGTGTCTTGACGTGAGTTTACACAAAACTCATTCACTGGATTTTAGTTTTTCTGTCCTGTTACAACACTTTAATATAATTATCGACACACACAAACGGAGGCTAGTAGATGAAAACATTAATCTGTTTGCTTAACATCATTGTCCGGCTGTAGACTGTCCCCAGCCTCGGTAAGGCACATGACTAGTCCATACTACCGATAAATTTTCGATAAGCACTCCGAGATATGACAAACGCAATCAATTCGCCTTCTGAAAAGCAAAGTAGCAAACATTCTGGATTACTCCGAATCAACTACAATCAAGCAATTACGCACGTACAACAGCCTAGCTAGTTTCAAAAGACGGTTAATACCGAATTGCACGTCTTTCGTGAGATCTTTAAAGGTGAAAATGAGAAACTCATCAATTTGGTCGACTATATGATAAAGGCATTCTCTAAAGTTAAGTGAATTATTGCAAAAGCAACTGCGCTCGCATACCAGAACATCAAAACACCCTTTAATATCTCAATAGGCGCATCCGACTCGGTAATCGGAGTCATAGGAAAATGGGTAGACAACACTTGACAACCTTTGACATTCATTTCGAGACGGAATAGCACTTTCAGTAGGAAACTCTTAGCCATGTATTTTGTTGTGGCACTTTCAATACCAAATGGAAAGTCTAGGATTCGCTCTGTCTACCGACCATAAAATTCTTACCCTCTCCATAAGCTCGTTCTCATATAAGTACTTCTCTCGAGAGTCTCGACAACATGAATAAATTTTGCAGTTTGCTTCAGGTATACAACACACTTCTGGGACAAACAATGTAGTTGAAGAAACCTTGTCCCGTACAGCTTCCCTCAACAGTTTCCATGCAGTCAACCTTCTTAAGCTCGTCCAGTTTCAAAAAGTGGAGACATGGCTTCAGGACGAGCCTATTTTGTTGATCTGGCATGAATATAAACGTGAGGCAGTGGACATGCTCTTGTGTAATCTGCCAGAAATCCTAGGTGATTAGACACAACAAATGTCCCCTAGACTCTTTCATAACCTCGGATGCTCGTTTCGACCATGCCTACTAGATTTGGTAGGACCCTACAAGATTCAAATTGACACTGTCACCTCTTAACGTGTGAGGACCGTTTCACAAAATGACCAGAAACAATACCCATCAAGTACGTCACTGCCGAAACAGTCGTCCGCCTCTTTGTCAAACGATGGGTTGCAAACTTCGGCTGCCCTTCAACTACCTCTACAGACCTTGGACGCCATTTCGAATCTGGACATTCCCGTGTCTGAATGCAACATTAGGAATCACACGATTCTGAACGGCCTCCTATCACCTACAAGCAAACGGGTTGGTAGATCCATTTTACTGACAGCTAAATGCTTCACTCTCAGATGCAAACGTTTCACAGTGGACTGATGCTCTTCCACTCATGTTACTCGAAAATAGCGATGCAGCGAAAGCTGACATTGGATAAACTGCAGTACAACTTGTGCACCGAACGACACTGCGACTTCCAGGATCCTTCTTGAATCACTCATCTTCTTCAATGAATATGAATCCAAACCCTCACACGATCAGGCTTACAAACACCATGAGTTCAGCTAAACATGTTTCCACCCGACCGCAGTCATCTGATGTTTTCGTTCAACCTGACTTACGATATAGTACACACGTTTTCGCACGTCGAGACTCACATGAACGACCACTCGAAACAGTATATGAAGGGCCATTTAAAGTTCTTCAGCGTGAACCTAAGTATTATATAATCGAAAAAAGGGACTAACGATAACATCAGCATCGATCGTCTTAAAGCCGCTTCTTTAGACGGAGGCCCTACTAATGTTGACTTTCCTCCTGTATAGTCGAACGACATTAACCCCATAATAACGACCCCCCACCTGATAATCAACGATCACAATGAGACCTCGGTGGTATCTGACAACCGGGCCAAAACAACGCGAAGGGAAATGTGAGGTTTCCAAGAGACTTGAACGACTACTACACATAAGACACAACACAAAACTTTGTTTGATTTCGTTATTTTTTGGTATCATTTTGTCAAAAGCGGAAACAAACATTTTTCGCCAATTTTCAAAAGTAAACCAAAAATATCGTCGAGCGGAAATTGTTTCTGTGCTACCGCTTGTTATCAAAACACATGTATATAGATTATTACCTTTTTCACCAGTTCTGTGCCCTTACGCAAATCCGAGTGTATTTCCATATTTACTTACAATTCCTTGTTTTCTTCACTAGGAGGGCTGGAAAAATGAAAAGCTGACGAAGTTCATGATGAACTGAAATTTTTGTTGTTCGGTTTTTCATTGGTAATATGTATCATATGGCTCCTATAGTAGTGATAGATGACCAGATGCCTCCAATTTTGATCTTTCTGTGTGATTTCTGTCAAGTTTTCGATGTTTTCCGGTGATGGTGATGTTCCCCTTGCTTTCCTAACTAGTGCCTTAATATGTGACCAGACCGAACTTTCTTACCACCTATTCATCCTAGCAACATGAAGGATATTATCTCCTTTAGAACTTACGCCATCAAGCATGATTTGATTGATT